TCGGATGTGAAGTTAATGGAATTAAGAGAACTTAATTGCAATGATCCTACTATGCAAATGTTACACAGGTATGCTATGGAAGATTGGCCCCAACACAAACGTGATGTACCTCCTTAGCTTTCTGGAATGTCAGGAATGACATTCATCTCACCGATGGAATTCTTCTCAAGGACAACAGGCTTGTCATTCCATATACATGGAGAACAGATATACTTCAGAAATTGCATATCAGCCACTGCGGCATTGAGAAAACCAAAGCTAATGCGCGGACGACGGTATTTTGGCCTGGCATGAATAAGCATATTGAAGACATGATATCTTGTTGTGAAAAATGTTTGAAATATCAAAGTAAGCAGACCAAAGAACCCATGCAAACTCGAGAAATTCCAATATTGCCATGGCAAATCGTTGCATCAGATGTGTTACAACACAAAAATCAAAACTACCTTGTTGTTATTGATTACTATTCAAAATATATTGAGGCCGTTAGGCTCAATGGCAAAACCAGCAGCGATATTATCCGGTGTCTGAGTGAAATTTTCTCAAGGCATGGTTATCCACAAACTCTAATTGCAGATAACATGCCCTACAACTCCAGAGAAATGAAGGATTACGCTAAGCAATGTGGCATTAACATTGTAACAATCAGTCCCACATATAGTCAGGCAAACGGTCTTGCCGAAAAAGCCTTTCACATTGTTAAAAATTTACTGAGAAAGGACTGCAGTTTGACTGAAGGTCTAATGGAGTACCGTAACACGCCAATAAGCAATTTTCCCTATTCGCCTAACCAAATGCTATTCAGTAGGCAAATCCGAACAAGAGTTCCTGTTCATCCCTTAGTCTTAGTACCACAGATCTGTCATAATATTCCAGAATTACTAGAAAAACGACAAGCTAAATACAAAGAATTCTATGACCGCCAAGGCTCCAAACAATTGCCTCAACTCAAGGAAGGGGATAGTGTAAGGTTCAAGAAACCAAGTGACAAGCATTTGTCACAGGCTGTAGTTACAGGAAAACATGAGACACCCAGATCGTTTATAATTACTGATGAAACAGGTAGAGAGTATCGTAGAAATAGGCGTCATATTCATCTTACTCAGGAACCACCTGTTACTATAGTAAATGATGATCTCATTGATGAGTCACAGCCTGTAACTATGCAATCCAGTGTAAACTCTCCAAGTGTAACTAGAGAATCAGATGCTAACCTGGAACCAGACCCACCCGATGTTAATGCCGCCTCGGCTCCGCGTCGCTCTACTCGGGTTAGATCCGTTCCGGTTTGGCATAAGGATTATGTTATGTAACATAGTTGTATTGTAGACCCATCTATAGTTGACTTGTTAACTTCTTGTTCCCGTTTTCACTTGTACTAGCATAAACTCTTTAAGACAGCCAAATAGCTTAAGAAGGGGGATGTTATGATAAGTTGGTTGTCATGTGATTGTCACGTGATCTCGAGGATCACATGTAGGGTAAAACTACTGCAATAAAGCTCTTGAAGTTGAAGCTTACAGACGTATTTTCTGGTACTCATAACAATGTGAGAGTACTGATAAAGGGGTTTCGTCCAGGGGCTCAAGAGTAAGAACTAGATTTTATGGATCCATAATTGACTCTGGGAGTGATAGGGTGTTAACTTTGTGCAATTTAACAATTATTTATACTGAGCCCTTTTTATTTAAAAAATTAGCTTATTTATGTGTTTCTGCTGCAGTCACCTTAATGTATCTGTTGTAATTTTCTACCTCATCTAATTTTTTGTTTTTCTTTTGTTTTTGGGTATGGTAATGTATGCTAATGAAGTTGAAACAGAAGAAAAATAAAAATTACCTGAGATAAAAACTTAACTACAACATATCCATTTATTATTTTATATGCTTTGTTCTTCATTAAACATTTAAATACAGTAAACACCCACCAATAAGAACCTGTGGATTAAGAACCTTCTGGCAGAAATTTGCCACTTTAATACCCATGCAAAAATACCAGAACCTGTTTAGCCTAGCCTATGTTGCAGCCAGCCCACACACTCATCTAAACCATTTGTATAGTCCATTTGCGAACAAGTGCATAAAAGTTCATTCTAACATCCTGCAGAGTTGCAAAGACATATGTGAGTGTTTGTGATAGGTAGGTTTCTTGCGGGTTAACGTTTGTTATGCCCCTCATGATTGGCCTAATTCTTTGCGTGCACATGCAAATATTAAAAGGCACAGTGACATGTCAAAATTCACAGAAGGGAGTTGGCAATGATTGTTTGCAGTTTACAGAAAATAATAAAAGAGCAGTTCAAACTTTAAAGCCTTCTTCTGCACAAAAAAATACTTTGAGAGAATTCCTTGTGATTTTTTTATAAGTATTTGCTTGTATAAATTTCCCCACTGGTTTTCCAGCATCTTCCAATCACTGCAGATGCACTGTCACGTATTCTGCAATCTAGCCGACAGTTCTAGGCTTCTAGCATCCAAAAAAAAAAATTAAGGAAGTCATTATCTTCACAGCCAAAAATAAAACCTACTACATGTGGCTATCCAGGTCCAGGCATTTTAGAGAAACCAAAGAAACTAAGGTTATTTCGCCACAAGAAAAAAGCGTAAGGCTTAAACTACGGTGGCCCACAGGGGACATGCTGCAAATAAAAAAGTTGCTGCAAATTAAATAAAATTGCTGCAAATAAAATAAAGTTGCTGCAAATTAAATAAAGTTGCAGCAAATAAAATAAAGTTGCTGCAAGTTAAATAAAGTTGCTGCAAATAAAAAATAACTGCAGCAAATAATAAAAATAGTTGCTGCAAATTAAGTGACAGGAAAGTATGCGCACGCATTGATGGGAAGAGGAGGACTCAGTATAGTTGTAAGGAAGTTAAGGACAGACCTGCAAGGACTCCCAAAGTGGTTTTTGTGGTTGCGTTGAGTTATCAACTGCCTTCAAGTTACATTTTTGCACTCAAGCATGTCTTTTGTAGGATATGATCAGAGGTCTTAAACTGTTTTCAGCACTGCAGAGGCTGATTTCGTATTAGGCCTGTAGACTGCAGTTTGCCATCAACGTCTTTTTAAGGTCTTGTACCGTTGGGTTATATGTTGTAATGAAAGGCAATAGTCTCTCTTTATTTTTTTTTGTTTTTGTTTTAGCCCCTATCAGTGTCTCGAGTCAAGGTTGACCCCTGAAAACGACCTGTCTATATCCGGTTTAGGAGTTTGTGTGCTTCGAGTTCACAAGGCACTCTTCAAATGTTTTTTTTGAGGAGTTTTTTCTAATGAATCTTATTTCGTCGCCTTTAATGAAACTTCTTTTTACTCTCGTAGGTGGAACTAGGTAAAGTGTACATATTGAAAGGTTTTAGTCGGCTTGTAGTGGGATTTGATGTCCAATGAAGATGGATTTCTCTGTGAGATGTTCTCCTTTGAAAACTGTTGTATCAAGAAAAGTTATTTCGTTATTTCATATTTCGGCCCTGGACTTCATTTTTGGGATGGGATTTGTTAGTTTTTTTAAGAAAAAGTTGGGTCTTTTCTGTTACAGTCCCAAAGAAAGGAAACGTCACCAATGAAACATTTTCATTTGTATTTCTATGTTGGTTTAGGTTTGTTTCAGTCTCTGCCTTGTAGATATTTGAAAAGGACACTGCTGTTTTTATGCCTAATGCAACTCCATGGGTTTGACGATAATTGTTTCCATTGAACTCAAATAAGGTTCCTGTCACTGAGGATTATGCCAAGCATTTTGTGAGTGGGCCCTGGATACAACTATACTGAGTCCTCCTCTTCCCATCAGTGCGTGCACATAATTTCCTGTCACTTAATTTGCAGCAACTGCTTTTATTTGCAGCAGATATTTTTTTTGTTCGCTGCAATTATTTTTTATTTGCAGCAACTTTATTTGTTTTGCAGAAACTTTTTTATTTGCAGCATGTCCCCTCTGGGCCTCCGTATTAAATAGAGGTAAAAGAAAATCATTTCATGGTAAACTGCATTTGTGATCAAATCCTGTCAGAAAACATCTGCAGGATTATAAACCATAGGAACTAATTACTAAATATGCATGGAACAGACCAGCTTCCTCAACCTCTAAATGCGAGACTCAAAGTGGTAAAATAAAATTTGTTCAGTGTAGAATACTCCATGCACTGCATAAACTACGGAAAAAGGGAGCAAGAAAAACCTCTGTTGTTCAAGCTGACTCTTTGGTCACGTTAATTGCACTATCAATAGCTCAATCTCCCTTCTCACAAGCTATATACCGGTATATATATATTAGTCATGTTTGGCCTGTCAATGCTTAATTCAAATCAGACTAATCACATTAAACTGTGTAGCAAACTAGCCAATCAAAAATGCTGCAGGATTCAAACATGATAATTATTGTGAAGCAAGTTTAGCCAAGGAAGATCATTATTGCAAGTTAAGCTTAAATTATGATAAACACTTTAACAAAGGGGGGTAACTATGAGTTGTAAAAAGGGGGGTACCTATGAGTTTTTTTTTAAGTATATTATATTCATAAGTCTCGCTTGCTTAAGAAATGAGGAGGCAATTACATCTACATGAAGCAGGATTTCCTCGTGACAAGTTTTTAACTTCCTACTTTATCGACAGTCAAGTATTCTTCAGTTATTTTATTATTTTTATATATGGTATTTGACAACTTGTTTCTGAATTGGCTGAGTACATGTGTATAAATACATGAAAATTAAGGGCCTAGATTCGAGTACGAGAGAAATTACATCATTGCAAAAGAGCAAAAAAGTGATGAACATGGCATGTAATTTTCAGTCATTGCTGAAAATGAAATGTTCAATGAAAGTTTACAACACCCGACCAGTTAGCCACACCATCTGCCCCATTGATCGAAGTTTTGCTCATTAAGATTCTACTTTTTCTCGACCACTTGTTCCAAAGTAATCAGCACTTTCAAGCAATAGAATTCATGGACCAACCTATTCCGGAAAAGCTCTAAATCTTTTGCATTAACTTTTCCTAAGCTTTCTTCACAAAACATTAGTGGCTCCTGAGTCATGCCGCAATTCTTTATATGCCCTCTTTCCATGGTCTCCGCTATGTTCAACCCTGCAGGGACCATGTCTTCCCTTTTGTGGACTAAATACAAGGAACAAAACATGGCTTACAGATTCTGAATCTGCAGTTGAGACTAACAAGAAATTTGGCCATCAGTTTTGTTAGGGTTATATGACATAATACAATTATTATGAATAACTTAAAAGTTAATTTATTTTTGTGATTTTAAATCAACAATCTATCTGCTTCATATGTAAAAACTAAGAACCTAGTTAAGAACCTACATAGCCTAAATTGCCATTAAGTACCCCAAAATACAATAACCTATTTTGCCAGACTTTAAAAAAAGTAGGTTCTTATTTGCTGGTGTTACTGTACCTCATTTAATACCAGTTTTATGTAAATGATTGGCCACCATGGTAGCTTTATGCACCACAACAATAGGTTCATGAGGAATTGAAGTGAGTGAGTTCACTTGATTCATGGAAGAACTTTTAATGAATAAACCAGTGCTGTGTTTACATTTGTTCATTACCAATTCACTGAGGTTATTTTAAAATGCCTTTCATGTTTAGTGTCAGCAGAAAATACATGTACATCATTAACAACAATAAACTGTTTAAAAAATTTAAGGAAAAACTTGCAGTGACTCCAGGAGCTATATTACATGCATAACTGCATAGGTTTATGAGAAAATGGAAACTGTTATCCTCCACACCAGGATGCGGTTTATACTTCCCCCCACGGAGGACATCAGAAATTTCAATGGGAAGGGGGTCCAAGAGGAGGCAATTTCCAAGGGGGTGGGGACAGATTCTCAAGGTCTTTTTTTCCCGGGACTTTGAAACAAGAATTATTGTTTTTATTGATGATCTTACATTTATAACAGTTTAATATAGCTGAATGCTTTTTTCACAGCTTACCTGTATGAATGTAGTCTACATGACTGTATCTAATATGAATGTCAGCGGCTCATGAATTAATAATGCCGGTCATCCAGCTCATTGCTTTATTATTTCACAATATAATTGTGGTATTCTCTGTGTTATGGTCATGTTCTATCAGCCTTCATCTAACTTGTTTTTAACTGAAAGGAGGTAATTGTTTATTGTTTACTGGTTCTTTCATAGATGCTCTACTGACTCATTAGTACACTGGACAAAACTGTTCCGGATTGATGTAATGTATTATACAAAAATGAAACAAGCCAAGGAACCTCAATTATATTAATTTTTCCTCTTTTGAAGTTTATCAAATTCGACATATGGGAAAATATTTTCATGTTGATCACACAAGGAGGACTTGCATTACAGTGTATCCAAACATGGTAACGAAATCACAAAGGTATGCAAAATCACGTGATTTCTAAGAAAAAAAAATGAATTAAAAAATGAAGGGTTGTAATGTGTTAAGAATATCCTGACATTTTTGTGGATGGTTTGAAAAGCATTCGATCGGAAAACACTAGGAAAACTTAAGGACAGTCTACAACTTATTTGACCACTATATGGCACTTTCTTCAGACTTTCGTCCTCTTAAAACTCTTCTTGCCACTAGATTGGTCTTCCATTCTGTTTTGAAGATGGCAGTCTGTTGCTCACGCTCTGCTCCAGCAGCCACGAAATGCTGCTATGTTAAAGCATAGTTAGCCAAGAATGAACAGACACTGCTATTTGGGCCTCTCTAACAGCTGCTGGACCATATGTCTTGGCTCTCTTCTCTCAGGAGCTTGCCATTTAGTCTCACGTTGTGTTGCCCAACAGCTTGAAACAACTGTGTGGATTTGCCTCGTGGCCTTTTAGTGGTAGCATATATATGTATCACAGCTTGAATCTTGACTCTATTAACTGCTGATGTATCAAAGGGTTATACTGCTTGAATGGAATGGAAATTATAGGGGTGAGGGTGGTCTAAAGTAATAGTGCCCTCCGTAGGTGTGGGGGGGGGGGATATTATGGATGTTTTCTGGAACTACACATTACAGTTTACTCAAAACACAGTCAACTGTAAGTTGTGAGTCAGGCAACAAATAACCCTTGTTTTTAGTTTGTTTTTTGTGGTAAAAGTAGTATACTTCTAGTATTAAGAAGTCTTTGCATTTTTTAAACTTTTTTGGCAATAATTATTATTTCAACTCGATCAGTTGCTTTAAATGTCAGAAAGTAGGTTAAGTTCCCTGAAATTGATTTCTTGGAATCGAACCCATTACAGTCAAACCTCTCTAATTAATACGGACACCAAAAGGACAGAGTGAAGTGTCCGTACAGTTGTATTAGAGAGGTGTCCATATAAAAGAGCTGATCACTATGATGACGTCACTTTTATGACTCCACTTTCAGTTTTAAGTGTTCAGTAGCTAGAACCAGGCTTACACGTCTTTAAACTGCATTTAAGTTTATTAATTCACAGTACAAAGACACTGTCTTTCAGTAGCATACAAAATTGTACATATCACCTACATACGAACAGTCGTAGACAAATCATGATCACTGCTTTAAGACAAAACGAGCTACAGCGCAATGCTGCATGTAAAAAGTTGTACCGTATTTGCACAATTCTGAAAGTGTCTTTCGCTATTTTGCAAGACAGTATTAACAGTAACTAGAGTAAAAAATGTAACACAAAAGATCTTTGATGCTATCTGTAGTTACTGAAGCCTTCAAAAAGTTGGTTATTTTCCTCTGTAAACCTTTTGCAAATTATTATGGCAACTGGGCTTTAGAAGTCACCTTGCCTAGCTCATCAACCAGACTAGATGGGATTTACCCTGTGCAACTTCACCTGATCGGGATCCGGTATTCACCCGATCACTACAGTGTCCATAGTAAAGAGGTTAAGTTTATATTAATTTACTCTCTCGGGCCAAGATTTAGTGCCCATTGTCCGTATTAGAGAGAGTCCGTATTAGCTAGCTAGTCGAGTGGTTTTCTGGTCACTGTCGTGCTATAGAGAGCTAAAACTTACCACAAACCGGTTTACAGGTCGTACACTTCATGGCCTTCTGATCCAGATGCAAAATATCAGCTTGCGAAGTTTGGGCATGCACAGAAAGCAAAATTTTGACAGTTTTTGGGTTTAAAAGTGACACAGCAGTCTTGACTTTTACTTTTTGCTTTCTCTCCTCCCCTCTTTTTTCGCTTTTCTTGCCTCATTTTTTTTCTCTTGCTGGGCATTTGGTAGGCTTCATTTTGGTGGGAATAGTTTTTAGAAAAGCATTTAGGATCTTAGGATTAGGTGAAGGAAAGGTTGGTGGGCAATGGAACAAGATTTTCATGGAGATTTTCAGGTCAATGTTACATGGTTTTTTGCCTCTTTCTGCGGTGTCCTTGACTGAATTGTGCTCATTCTGGTATGGTTTGAAAGATCTCTTCACTCTGCACAAGTTAGCGGACAAAGTTGTCCTTGACCGTTAAAACTGATGACGTCACAAAGGGTAGAAAGGACGAGGATCCACGGGCGGTTACGGGCGGTTCAGGGGCGAATGGGTTAAAGAAAATACATGAGAATTTTGTCGGGACATTGGAAACTGTCCATAATAATAGAGGTGTCTGTATTAGAGAAGTGTCCGTTCTGCTTGAATCATTATTGCATCTTGAACATATTGCTGAAAATATTTTTAATAATGTTATTTTCTTTTTTTACCATTTAAAGGGAGTCAGGAATTTGCATTTAAAAAGGTATAATCCATCCATAAAAGTCTAGTCTTGTCAATTTATGTGATTTTTCTAGAATGAGATTTTAATAGACCAATTGATGAAAATTTATGGTATAAAGATTTACAACAAGCTTAGAAAGTTAGAAAGAATTGTACATGATGTTTTAAAAGCTGAGTAACAGACACATTTAACATTCAAGTTTCTCTTATAGATGTTTTTGAATAATTGTTGTGACTTAACCTTATGGTTTAAGTTGGCCAATGGCATATTTTTTTTATTATTGAATGTACAGATTTCATAGTTTTTTAAAGTATACAAATTCATCAAAACAGTCAATTTTTCACAATTTTTTTCATCACTATAATCTGTCACCATTTTGGCACACCATTGACAGGATGTAACAAAGGGCTATACAGGGTGTTCCAAAAGTTCGTTCCTCTCCTTTATATAAGTCTGTAACGCAGTACGATTGGACTTGATCAGCGCATAATTTAAACTAAAGTTGTGACTTTCAATCTAATTTAATATTTCATACTTCTTGTGCCATCTTTTGTCTCGAAATTCGATTTGTGTATTTCACGCCAAAGGTGCGCTGCGCGAGTAAATTTTCCCGCCATATATTTTTTGCATTTTGTAGCCCAAAATGCTCGAACTCCTAACTTGTTTTGTGTGAATATCCTGAAAGATAAAACCTCTCAACAATAAAAACACTCAGCCACGTGCGAGCAGAAGCATGTATTTCTATTTACTGGCTTTTCAGTTAAAGAAATTCAATAAAAAAATGGAAAAATCCGAATGTTGGGAGGTAAGATGGTCATAGAGAAATGAAGGTTTTACAGACAAGAAACAAGAGGGAAGACCGAAAGTCCTGAATAAAACTGCTAAAGTAGTTTTAAACAAGGCCATGTACAAAACAGAAAACCCAGCGAGGTAGATCTTACAACAGTTAGCAAGTTAAGTCCGGAGTAGGTTCACGGAAAGCAAAGTTTGGAGAAATGAAGACTAAAATTCAAAATTCACAAAAAACCTAATACTGTTTTTTTGGCTGTATTTATGAACTTGTACACGTTGTCGATGTTACTTGCAACACTTGCACGTTTTTGTAAGGGTAAACTTTGAAATTAATTTTAAAAAACGTTTGTATAATGAGCATTATCCGAGCCTTTTAGTGACCTTTTTGGGGAGACTGAGCATTTAGTGGGAAAAATGGAGCATTAAGGTGGAGCATTTTAGTAGGGAAGCAAAAGCATAATGTACAAAAGCCTACATACTAGGTGATAAAAAAGTTCAAAATGAATCATCTAGGGCTCTACATGCTACATGGCTTATCTCACTTAATGCCGAAACGGCCACAGGGTGTGATAAAAAACAAAGGGGGGATGCTGGTAACTGAACTTCTGAACACAAGTACTCGATAGAGTAAGAAACATATTTTAGAAATTTCATGTAAAAATGAAGTTTTGATCAAAAGTTATAGCACATGAAATTAGAGGAACAAACTTTTGGAACACCCTGTATAATTATCTGATAGCACAGGGCTCAAGTGAGGCAACTCATGGGGTGTCCAGTGAGTAAGCAGCATTTGCCAAGATAAAGAGTAATCTGAAATGCTACAGAAAAGGGGACTGGGGTTGGTTGACCAGCATGAATGCTTTACTGTGGCCACTAAACTTCAGCAACAGTTTGCCCCAAGGGCAATGAGTTTTAATTTTCATCTCACCCTGATTCAGGCAGCTGTCAGCTTCTTCTCAGTAACAAAGGAGCTGTGACATTAAGCAATAGTAAGGGCAGATTTAGGGGTGGGCCAATTATGGGGCCTTTTTTCCTTGAAATTGTTTTGTATTATTTTTATAGAATTCTCAGAACAATAAAACGTTTCTATATAGCTGGCAAGTGGGCAAGTATCCCAGCCACCCTTTTCTGAATTTTCTGGATCCACCCCCGGCAGATGCTGGTAAGATGAGTTCATGAGAGATTTGTTTATTTTTGATAACTTATTTAGAGACCAAAAACCAATTCCAACGTACAGCAAATAATACACTGTGTCAAACCCAGAGTACTTACCAGTTTGGCTTGTTGATATCCAGGCCGTGTTTTACTAAGAGTGACATTTATTTTTTGCGGATGAGCAGTGAGCGGTGGGGGGAGGGACGAGCCTACAAAATAGCAGCATAGATTAATTAAGTTCTACCTAGCATAAATTACTCTCTTTTAGTTACGAACAAGAGCATGGTCCATTACAGATGTTCGGTCCTGCAAATGGAGTAAGTAACGAATCTAGCACTGGAAAAGATTCATCGCATGTTGATTCTTCAGATTCGCGCGTTTTGGCCACCTAAATTATAGGGACGTAAAACAATTATCTCACAAAGGGGGTGTCACAGGCACCCCAGGACCACACCCTCGCTACACTCCTGAGGAAGAGAAAGATAATTTAAACGTCGCTTCTCTACGTCCTCTATAAAACGTAAAATTTGGCATTTTCCTGCCGTAGTCATGCAGTGATGGTAAAAAAATGTACAAAAAAGCGTGATGCACAAGCAGAGTTGTTGCTTTGCCTATTCACTTCAACCTATTGCCTTTTTGACGTTTTGTTTGTCGTCGCCGTTGTAGCATGTTAAAGTCCCTAATGATGATTTCTTTCTGCTATCTTTGTTGGTTAATTATTAACAAACCCCAGCCCAACCTCTAATCAGGGGAAACTTCTATTCAAGGGACACTTGCTTTGGTCCTGAGGGTGTCCCCTGAAAAGAGGTTTGATTGTATTTGTTTTATCTATTGCTTCAAGTTTATTTTTTTTATTTCAAAGCTCACTTAATAACTTTCTCTGCTTTGCACTATAAACCTCTTTACTTTCTTCATAACTAAGACTTTTTTATGCTTCATTTCTTGTACAATGTATGAGTTAAAATTCACACCAAATAGTATTGCATGCAACCTGAAATGATGCGACAATGTCCGCTATTGTCAAGTGAAATTTACCCTACATCATAAATATATTTTTCAGGTATTATTTAGTCAGTCCGATAAGGATTTTTTTTGTGTGTCTTGCATAAAAATATTTATCATCTTAAGTTAGTTTTCTTACCACTCATTATTCCCCATTGTTCCAATTGTAATCTTTCATTTACTGTAGGGGAGAGAAGATGTGCCCGGCTTGCTCATGGTAGGGAATAGACCTATTCGGCTAACTCAATATTGTACCCAATTCAAACCCTTTGGGTATAAAATGTTTTGTTTCAGGAATTTCCATATAATTTAAATGTGAATGCCGCATTATAATGCAAATGCAATACACAAAGAATCTTATCCCCGGGAGATTTGAATTGGGTACAACATTGAGTTAGCCGAATAGGTCTATAGGCCATTTGCGAGTTCCAAAAAATCTCACTTTCAAAACGAGGCTAAGTGCGAAACCTTTGTTGTGAAAATGAGTTTTATTTGCATCTTAATTAAAAATCATTTTCATGTCAATGGCTTCGCACTTACCCTCGATTTGAAAGTGAGATTTTTTTGGAACTCGGAAATGGCCTATTAAGGGAGATGTGGTGTTGCCCTCTTCCTAAAGGTCTGGGGACGAGCCAGGGACCACATGGTCTAGTGTATACTGAGCAACCTCATAGGGATTGGCTGGGAAGACAATGAACAAACAAAGTAACAATGGAACCTAGCCCGAAACAAAAGAGCTGCAACATATGGCAATCCAAATAAATTAAAGGTTCTGAAGAGCTGCAAGGCTACTGTTATGACACATGATTTTGAGCTGAACGAATTGAACAAATTTTGCTGTAACTGATGGTGCACCGGTTTATAATGGTACTAGTGAAATCTCGGTTAAATGGACGGTGTAGTTGTATTCAGTTGTTATTTTGCGGTACAGTAAGCACCCGCAGCAGAAATGAGAATCTTCTTTTCTGAAGTCTGGCAAATAAATAAGTTCTTGTAATTTGGGGTACCTTATATATTGGCAATTTAGGCTAAGTAGGTTGTTAATTTTTATGAAGGAAATAATAGATTGTCGATTACCAGAAAAATAAATAAGCTTTTTATTTATTCACAATTGTGTTATTATAACCCTAACAAAACTGATGACCGAATTTATATACAGTTTTATAGTACAGTATGTTTTTGTTGTACTTAAATTTACAACTCAAAGTTACACTCCTTTGTTAAATTTTTTGTTCTAATTTAACTGTAACCCACATATAAGAACCTGCTTGATTTTTCTTGGCTAAACAGGCTCTTGTATTTCTGGGTATTAAAGTGGCAATTGTCTGCCAAGAGGTTCTTAATCCAAAGGTTCTTATTACCAGGTGTTTGCTGTAACTGCCTCTATAATCACCCAGTCAAACCTGTATTGAGCGGTCACCAAAGTCCTGGAAATAGCTTCCCTTGATTATTGTAAACACTGATCTGTATTTAGCAGTTGCCTCTATTGGGCAGATGTGGTCACCTGTTTTCGAGGTCCCAATGAGTAATTTAATTTGTTATTGTCTTTCCCTTCATTAAACTGTCCCTTAGACAAGATGTTCCATACCAGTGCAAAAGGATACACTGTGTAGAGCGTTTAGTGAGTCTTTTACAGACTTACCAACCCCCGAAAGGCAAAAAATGTGAGATTCTGAACCTAGAGCTGGGAAAAGTAGTGAGAAATGGCTAAAAAGTCGTGAGGTGTCCCAAATGTCCTAGTGGAAGGACGCTCAGTGGAGATTATGGATTTTGGAAATCACCACATCACTTTAAAGCTGGAACAGTAAACATCACGACAATTTTACGATTTAGGTTTTGTAATTTGTATGTTTTGTTGGCGCCATCTTGAAACAAGAGAAACAGTAAGTCTCCACATTTGGTGGCAGCGGCAAGTGGCGCGGTAGACTTAAAGAATAGTCTCGTTTGATTACATTCTATTACCGTTTTCTTTGAGTTGAGCTGGCTATCTATTGATATCTAACTTAGAAACGACCCTACAGTTCCAAAATTGTTTGGAGTTTGACTTTTCGAGAAAGCGTGAGAAATCAGTTGCCAACTCGTGAGAGTGTGAGACAGGTCCTGACAAAGTCGTGAGACTTGACAAGTCTGCTTTTACTTCCTTGATTTTGGCACAAGAAGGCTACTAACAGTTTGAGGTCAATGTGTCGTGGGATAGATATTTCGCTCTATCACCATCTTCATTTCCATGACTAATTCGTAGGTTTGCAAACCCGTCGACCTGTATTAAGCAGTAAGTAAGCCATTCCCAAGTATGACCGCTTAATACAGGTTTGACTGTAAAACTTAGTTTATATCATTATCTTTCCTTACCGTTTCAGTTTTATATCATTCCTGAATCTACAGTGAAGGTCACCAAGGATACAGTTACAATTAGCGAACTACAGCATTGGTATTTAGAAGGAAGATGGACTGTTCAACTGAAAGATGCTGATCCAAATGAGCTTCAGCTTTTTATCGAAAAGATGCCCGCCTCTATCAAAGGTAAGGCTAAGAGTATGAAATGTATTGATTTTGGTTTTGGAACAAAGAGGCACATGGTTGAACCTCTAGCTGTACGTGATGTAGTGTATAGATACAAGCAGATCAAGCTTATGGCGAGAGTTCAGTAGTTAGTTTGGTTCTTATGAAGCCCTACAGGTGCAGTCAGACAATGATACAGGCAGCCCAAGCTTATGGTGTCAGTAGTTAGTAAGGTTTTTTGTTTTTGAATTATGATAAAACCCGTACATATGTATGGATACAGGCAGCACAAGCTTATGGTGTGACTAGTTAGTTTTGGTTTTGGTTTTTGAATTTGAAGGCATATTAATTAAACCTGTACAGGTAGTCAGGCAATGATACAGGCAGCCCAAGCTGTTGGTGTGAAAAGTTAAATAGTCTGTAGGTTTTGATTTTTGAATTTAAAGACATATGGTTAAACCTCTGTTCATGTGCAAGGGTAACGGGGCTGTAATTATTAAAAGTTTTAAGTGAAATTTTCAGACACAATGATGAGCCAGTTATGAAAGCAGAGTTTCATATAAACGGTGTTAAACAAAATCGCGTTCTGAACGCTTTTAATTTTGGTCTACTTTCGGCCTTTCCGTGTCTGTTACGCTTCAAAATATTATAATTGATAGAATTAACGCAAAATGTAATGACATTAAGCATTTTAAAACAGCTTTCTGAACAAAATGTAGGAATTACATAACGCAAAGTGTAACAAAAATTGAGCTCAAAACGTAACAACTTCTTTTGCGCGAAATGTTACAAAGCAAAATGTAACAAACAAAGCTGTCAAGAAAAAGAAAACCTGGTAAGCGTGAGCGTGTAAGCCTCCTTTTTAAGGATTGTCACGAGACCCGCCATATCAAGGTGTTCGATGCAAAAATTATTGCGCTTTATTGAATCGAAAAATCTTTGAATATTTCTTTGCACACTTTCGGAAGGGTAAATAATCGAGCAATTAAAATTACCAAACGAGACGAGTCTAAGAAAAACTATTTTTTACCCACTCTATACCTGTTCTTTCAATAGGCTTACCGTGTTTAGTCAATTACATGTAAACGCTGCCCTGGAATAAACATTCAATTAACGCTGTTGTCGAATAATCACCGCACATAACCAGAGGAATGCGGCGTTTATTCGAGGATAGCAAAAAAAAAAACTCCGTACAATTCTTAGTCTACACTGGTCCTAACCACAAGTTGCTCCAAGATTTCGAAAAAGTTGCTTGAAGTTGCTTGAATTTTACAAAAAGTTGCTCCTTAACTAAAATCAAAATGACATGAGTTGCAGCCATTATCGCGTTTTTAAGACAAACGCCGCTAGTTAATTACAATAATGCAATTCAAAACTACTTCCTTCTTTGCCCTGTTTGTAAACACAACTGCTACAGGTGACATTCAAACGTACAACTGTGGAATGTCTTTCGTGTTCCTGCGCAATAAGAGTATTTAATTAAGTGATTTTACTTTACACGTGATTGCCCAGAAATAGTTCATGACAATTATATATCACCAAATAGTTACAATAAAGGAAAAAAAATTGGTATTGGTCGCATAGATCAGTCAGTATCGTGTGAAAAAGAACGCTGTGAGTCGAAATTCCTTCATGAGATCAGTATCTTTGTTCTCTTTGGTTTTCTAGCTATTGCAGCGTTTTCAGGCTTACTTAGATTTGCTTCAAGCTTTTTGGCTTCGCTGATAGTAGTCAGAGTTAGAGAGTTAGAATTTTCTTCCTCTATAAAACTAACTGAAGATTCAATGTTTGCCATCATTATGAAAAAGGCACGAAAGGCTGACCCCAAACCGCGGGTAGTTTAACTGAGAAGCAGGGGTGGGTGTTAGGTGGCTGAGGGGTGGGGGATGGGGCACAGATTTCGATTTTCACGTTTTTAAGGGACTGGTCAAAAAGTATAGGGGGGTGGGCCGGAGCAGAGAGGGGGTGGGTCATGAGGTTTTGAGCCTTGTGCAAGGGGTGGGTCGTGCAATTTTCAGCTACCCATAGGGGGTGGGTCACCCTATTTTATTACATAGGTAGGCACTAACTACTAACGAGACAGTTGACTACACTTGTTATATAAAACACAACCAGCTGGAATTATTGCTAAAATACTCACAAACCTGTTGTGCGAGAAAATACAAAGGGTGACAGGCCGCACATCTATACGGGCGTGGAACCCTCTGTTAACGTCTTTTTTTTATTTGGCTCTAACGAGCGTGTCCTTTGATGATTTTCCTTTTTTGTAAGGAAATGATCGGTGGTTCTTTAAAAATTTATTGAAGTTATAGTTGGTTTTGTATAAGACTCCATTTTTTCATTCAAGCTTCCTTCATAGTAGACACTGAGGGCTGGTATTGTGTCACGAATGGCAATATTTCTTTTTACTCGTTGTTGTTTTTTTTTAAGGGTTTAGACTCCCTTTTGTGAATTTTATTTCTGATTGCAGGTTTTCCATCAAAGATTGTGGGTAGCCACCGTCCATCAAGCGTTTTTTTTAATTTGAATTATTTTTCTCAAAGGTTGTTTCTGAGGAGTTTTTCCGTAGGATTTTCAAGGCTTCTCCTTTGACAAATCCTTTTTTAACATTTGGAGGGTGACACGAGGTGAAATGTGTGTGCAAGAAGTTTTCCGTTTGTTTAAATGCGTCTTAGCATCAAGGATAGATTTTTCCTTGAATCTTGTGCCTTGTATACGACCGTGTCTAAAAACGCAGTCTCAGTGTCGAATTTTTCGGTCGTGAATTCAATAGTTGGGTGATGTAAGTTTTCTTTTTCAATGAAGGCTTTGATTTCTGGTTCTCTCATGTCCCATAGGGAAAAGCTATCGTGTATGTAGCATTTCCAAACTGTTGTTCTAAAGACAGTTTTGCTTAGAGTAGTTGTTTCAATATGTCGTGAAAATATTGGCAAAGGAATCAAAACTGCTGTCTTTGTGCCCATTGCAGTTCCATGGTTTTGTAGGTAGTGCTTTCCTTTGAAGTGGAAGAAATTTTCTTTGAGGATTAATCTAAGCATTTCCGGCAAGTCATGTGTAGGGATGGGTTGTCTTTGTAGAAATTTTCATATGCTTTGTGACAGACAATTTCAATATACCCTCGTTTTGCTGTATATTTGTGACAAGACTCATAACGTCCATCGAAACAAGAAATGTTCAGTTTTTCACGTTTGTCTTTTCAGTAAAACGTATGATTTCTGTGATTTTGATATTGGTTGTGGCACTGTATCAACAAAGTTTGTCAAGCACAGAACAAGGTTTTATTGGATTATTAAGAGGAAACCAAACATCCATGTTTTAACTAGGGGGTGGGTCATGCAATTTCCAGCCTTGCTTTAGGGGTGGGTCAGTCATTTTTGTGCCGAAGGGAGGAGGTGGGTCATGTGTTTTTTATCAACCACATTTCCAAATGCTCCGGACCACCCCCCCATACTTTTTGACCAGTCCCTAAATCATATCTATAATTATAACCTTAAAGAACTGAAATGTTCTTATAAGGATATATAACAAGGCTTAAACAGTATCATAGGACTGTTTAATTGCCTTATGTTGCTTAAAATTTCATCAAGTTGCCCCCAAAACTAAAAGTTGCTCCAAAAGGTGCCAAAACGTTGCCTGAGCAACTTGTGGCTAGGGCTAGTCTACACCATCCAGACTATTACAATTCTCTCTTAAAAATTAAGAAACACTGCGGCTTTTTTATACGGTATATCACGCTGGTTCCTACATGCTTGTGCTTATAGTTAACGTGACATTTCATGGCTTTAGATTCTGGTCAAAACACAGCCGGTATATAGTCCTGGATTACTAAGTTTTTGCTAAGATTTATCGGATCATTATACGTCTCTGGGAAACTGCCCACCTACCCCTCCCCTAAAGTGAAATGTCCTCCTTCACCGCAGGATAGGATATATATTCACGATTTGTTTTTCTTTCAGTCTGTGTAAAAGGACATAAATGTCTGTTTTTAGACACCCCTTATGTGCCTTGCAATAAGGAATGCAACATAAAAAGTTTCTCTTAGCCACTTTTCAGTGCATGTAACTTTTATCGGTATAGAAGTGACGAAGTTTTTACTTTTACTTTTTTTTATACGTGTAGCTGAAGAATTTAGTTTTTATATTTAACATTGTCACATCTCCAGTTTAATAAAACGTTATTACAATTTGCGTTCAAAACTTGTTACATTTTCCGTTAAAACGTTTTTGCATTTTGCATTAAAGGTTTTTACATTACGAGTTCATGTAATTATGTTACATTTTTCTTCAGGCATCGGTTGTTCAAAGGCCGGATAGCGCTATCCATCGGATAAATCTGTATCCAGTGGATAGTGTAATTAGTTTCCCCAATACTTATCCATTGGATAGTGATTTACCCGGTGGATAGCGCTATCCACCGGATAAATCTCTATCCAGTGGATAGTGAAATTAGTTTCCCCAATACTTATCCATTGGATAGTGATTTACCCGGTGAATAGCGCTATCCAACAATTGAACAACCAGGGCCAGATGTTTTCAAATTTCGCGTTAATTGGCGCCATAATCTTCGTCTCTCCGCACCTTCTCGAGTAACGAATTGTCTAACACTGGAAAATAATAATCAAAAAAGGCGGTGGGGGGGAAAAAAATCAGCTGCTATAGGGGGGGTTGTAACTCAACTTCGCAAGCTGAAGACGTTTTACAAACAAGGAATGTTAAGTGACAATTGCGCGAAAGAAACCATTGTAAATTTCATTTTATTCATCAATATTTCGTTTATGCACAGTTGTCACTCAGTTTCAAGAGAAGAAATGCAGTGCATTTTCTGTTAAGTCTAGGTTTTTTTTTTTAGGTAAAACCATATGCTCCTGGTAAAACGTAGTCTGTTTGCCCATGTTACTCAAGTGATTTTGATTGCTTTGTATCGTTTTTGAATTATCCTTTCAGAAAAAATGCAAGATCTACGCGAAGCAAACTCGACAAGCCGAACCTCAGAATCAGTAGAAAGACAGTTGAGGGATTTTCAGCAACGTGAAGAAAATTTCCAGAGGCAGTTCAGAGATGTGCAGCAACGCTAAGAGAATTTACAAAGACAGTTCAGAGAGCTTCAGGAACGGGAACAAAGCGCTCAAAGGCAGCTGACGGAGTCGCGGCAACGTGAACAAAATTTGCAGCGGCAACTCAGAGAGCTTCAGGAACGGGAACAAAGCTCTCAAAGGCAGCTGACGGAGTTGCGGCAACGTGAACAAAATTTGCAGCGGCAACTAAGAGAGGTTCAAGAACAGGAACAAAATTCTCAAAGGCAGCTGACGGAGTTTCAGCAACGTGAAGAAAATTCTCAGAGACAGTTGAGAAATTGCCAAGAACAAGTTTCTGAACTACAGTTAAGTCTCTCAACAGCCCAGCTAACAATAAATGAATTTCGTAGCCAGGAAACACGTGACTGGGTTATTACCCGCGACGAAATTCAAATCGCAGATAAATGCCTCGGGAGGGGAGGATGGGGAAGTGTCAGGGAGGGAACGTATTGTGGCTGTACTGTAGCAGTGAAACAAATCCATGAGTTGATTCTTTCTCCTCATAACATAAATCTGTTTGAAAGAGAAATGGATATAGCAGCAAAATGCCGCCATCCTCACTTACTACAGTTTATCGGCGCCACGAAAGATGAGGGAACTCCTCTGTTTGTGACCGAGCTGATGGAGAAAAGTCTGCGCACTTTGTTGGATCAGCGGCAACTCTCCGAGACAGAAATACGCACCATTTCTCTGGATGTAGCACGTGCCCTGAACTACCTTCATCAAAAGAAACCAGAGCCTATCATTCATCGTGACGTCAGCAGTGCAAATGTGTTGCTATGGCGACAAGGTGAGCAATGGAGAGGCAAAGTGTCAGATTATGGTACCGCTAATTTCATTCAGCAGACCATGACAGTGGCTCCTGGAGCTATGATTTACAGTGCACCTGAAGCACTTACATCAAAGCAAACAGTAAAGGTTAGTTTTCATTGAAAAAATACAGGATTTAAGGCTGTCTAAGTAACACCTTGTAAACACCAAGTGGAGTAGTAATCATGCAAAGGTTGGTGATCGTGAATTTCAAAGACTGCTGAATTTACAAATGTACAGCAATGCTAATATTGTCACAAGTGTTTGGTTCGAACCAGTCATAAAAGTGTTACGGCTCGGACAACATTTGTAAAGAAATGCTCAAGTTTTCACAGGTCCGCAGGTGCCTTTGCCCTTGCAAAAACTCTAGTTTTCTTTGCCACAGTTATCCGTACCGCACAACTTTTTTCAGGACTGGTCCCGACCCAGTGTTTCTGTAGAGTAAACGCGAGTCTTGTGACCCTTGCCATTCCCAAATCCACGTTGGGGCCTACGGAAGAAACGGCGGCGTGTATGCCTGGCTAGTTTTAGCGCTTATAATGTTCCTGTGCTTTGAATTTCGTCGGCTGTCATTAGTAAAAGGGAAAGAAGTGGTTACAGGGTTAAACAGTGTTGGGCTATTTTCACGATGAGGTCATTTGACTACCAACGACCAACTGCTTTTTTTTATTTGAATTTGTCAATCCTGCTAAGGTTTAAAAAACCTATAGCCCTTACTTGCTAGCCTCGCCCTGCCCCGCCCCGCCCCGTCCCGTCTCGTCCCGTCCTGTCCTGTTCCTCTACCAGCTCTCGCGAGCTCCCACCGCATTTTCGGGCACTCAAATACTTTCCTCTTCCACGCTTCTTAGTTTTTAGTCAACCTCTTAAACCATCTCATGATCGGTTCTGGTGAACCTTTATGGCGTTTAGTCATTATAACATGTAGGTATTAATAGAAACAACAAGACGCGTAAAGGTGTTTTTTTCCTTTTTCCCCCACTACAGAGCCTGGTCCAAGGCTAGCTGTATACAAACATAGAGTACTAACCAGAATGTAAAAGAATTATGAAAATTACCAGTTCACCACTTTTAAATTGCCCGTAATGTACCTCGTTCAACCTTTCCCTTAAACTCGCACACAAATTAAATTCTACATAAGAATTGTTTACAGTTTGTCTTACTGTCTTCGGGTAGAAGGCGAACACAATGCTTATCCAAAATCTTTTGGGGTAAACAAGGTGCATTGTAATATAGCTGAAAATGTTTTTCCCAACAGTGCGCGTTATCATTGATTACTTTGAGGTCACATGACATCGAACAAAGAAACTGTTTCCCGCCAAACTGAATATCTGAGCGGGCAACATTGCAAAATCTAGGACGTCAGAGGGTAACAGTGCAGTGTTACCCGCGAATGTTGACCGACGACCACCGTTACAGCAAGGATTAGTGAATTTCCAGCTTCAAAATCTCCAGCCTCGGGAAACAAAATTAACTGCTTCCCTCGGGACCTGTCATTAAGTGTTTATTATGGGCAATGTGACAATGGCGAATATATGTTCTGTGATCAAGCTTGGACAAATTACTGCGTAAGAACGCTTATTCTGTTCGAAATTCTATCATATCTCCAAATGGAACTCACTGTTTATCCCTAACGTAAATTTTCTGGCTTGTCTCAGCCGACTCAGCTCGGCTACGATGCACAACTGTCCCGGATATTGTCAGTGCAATGAAACTCCAGCCTATCTGGACTATAACCGTAGTAAACCACAGACATCCCAGGGAAAGAATATTGACTTATTCAAATGATGTATTGTTGTTAGGTTGATGTTTACAGCTTTGGTGCTCTTCTTTGTGAAATGTGTATCCGACAACTTCCAGATCCTCGAAGGCGTCAAGAACAAGTGGTGCTTGTAACAAATGGCGCGTTTCGTGGCGTGGTACGGCGATGCCTGCAGAGAGAGCCTAGGGCGAGACCAACCATGCAGGAAATAATCGATGAACTGAAGGAATAAATGCAACAACTACTTAACTGTAAAATCAACGGTATGCAATGGGATTGATTAATCGCAATCTGTAAGAACTCTCCGCTAAAAAAATAATAGGAAAAATAGCAGCAGTTTTCCCTGAACTTTTTTTGCTGAATGTTTGGACATGAATTAGGTTTAAGTAATTCCGGTTGTAATAGCCTGATAACGGCGACTATATACGCAAGCGCTTACATAGCCCTTAGTTTGTTGCAGTGAAGAATGCAATTAGGAACGTAATGATTTGTACTGAGAAATGCACTTTTTATAGACGTCAGGTATTGCTAGTAAAGAGCTAGTACTTAAAAACTTACGGTGAGGTAATTATATATACTGGAGAATACAATTTTTATTAGATATTTGTAGTAGACAAATGTTAGCAGTTAAATATCCAATTTACATAGCTTTACGAAGTAATTAGGTATTTGTTTTAAAGTATACATGTACAATAAACATATAGTAAGCACATTCAGTGAAAAATTAATTTGTAAGTAGCTGACGCAAGATCGTCTGGGTGAGCGTAGTCCATAAATTGGACTGTGGTTGTTTATAGTGACTGACGTTTTGACAACCGGTGCTTTAGTCATCTTCAGAGTCAGTGAGAGGACTACGTTCACCCGGATGAACATTCTCCATCCACTTATGAGATAACATCAATCACCAATCAATTTTTATGATAATTAGGTATTTTAGTAGAGAATTTTTATTGTTATCAATTTTGTGTCTTTGTGCTTCAGAGACAAATAACGTTAAAGTTAGACATTTTCTTGTTAGTTACACGTGTATTTTCTCCATCATGCAGTTTTTATGCATAGAGGTCAATTTTTTGTAACAAAAGAATAAATTACACAGAGTGACCAGTAGCGAGGAATTGGTGAGGAAAAAAATACATTGAACATTTTTGATAGCTAGGTATATATAGTGAAGAGTAAAATTTTCGTAAGTAGTTAGGTATTTGTTGTTAAGGGAGTAATCGAGTAGTTGTCGGTAGAGAAGAATACAACTGAAATGTAAAGAGTGTAGAATTTCATCGTAAAAAAGTTACCTATTTGTCGTCTTTGTGAAGGAATTGTTTTTTATGGCATTAAATAGGCGGCTTAATAACTTTAGTTTGAAGATTTCATATATATCTTTTTAAAGTCATGTGAAATTTGACTGGTGCAGCTGGGACGAACGGCCGATCGTTGAGAGTTTTTGTGAAAAGTAAATAAATATCGATCTTGTAAAAATTTAAAATCACATTTCTGCTAATGAAGTTCGTGTACTTCAAAATGTTTTCGGAAGTTTTAAGAAACAGACTCCAGGTGCTGAACATGTGAGAGCCGGCCTGATGTGATTCGGTTTTTTAACTGTCTTCCTCTCACAACATGATTGTGATATGTGGTGAAGACTTTGAACTTGTTTAAGCTGCTTCACAACATTTTCATGTTCACTATTTTTTGTTTTCAGTGGTGAAAATGAAGTTGAGGCTGCTCGACAAAACAAATTCTCGACCCAGGTGCTCTGCTGCACATAACCACCAGGTCCGATTCCTCGAAGCAGACCCAGGGAGACAAGCGTAGGCACGCAGGGGACTCTGGGATCGAGAATGGATACAACATGCGTATGCGCAGTGTAACAAATTCCCTTTGGTTATTTGACTTTGGTTATAACTTTGGTTATGATAAATATATTATGTAAACAACAAAGAAATACCAGGTGAGTTTTCGCGCGAAAACAAGAAACCCTCACATGAGAAAGTGACATGTTATCTCCACACTTGAAAGATCACCGTTGCTATGGTTGCATAACTGAATCGCGCCTTTTATACCGGAATTCTTAAATTGAAAAGGCTTGGTATTTTAGTGGTGTTTATATCAGGAGATGATATTAAACAGAACATCACATGACCGCTTAGACTCACAGATACGAAATTACGTATCGCTAAGCGGCCGTATGATATCGTCCATTTAAATGACCGGGATCTGGGTCACTGACGGTCCGTTTAGTCGGTCGACAAAGAGAGTAAGGATATCCTGTACATTCAGCAGTTACATTTTTATTTTATTATTTTTTTTTTTCAACTTGGGCACCGCTATCATTGATCATAAGCCTTTTGTGTGGTGTGGAAAATACCAGATTCCCTGGAAACTCTGAAAACACCTAGAAAGCATTGTTTATCCAATCACCTAAGACTTAGCGTCCCACTTAAATAGTTCAGTAATGTTCTTACCAGAATTTTCCCCTCAGTTTAAAAATGGGGAAAGTTTTATCGTAATATATCCTACGGCAAATAAAGCAGTCTTCAAATTTATTCCGTTTCGCATTCAGGGGAAGCCAAAATAAACAAGTCGGGTTTTTTTTTATTTCTCCATCTGCACTTTATTTTAAAAATTGCAGTATACCTTTTTAAGCAGCTAATGCATTTTCGACGCAAATAGCTTGCTTTTTGTCTCTCTTCGCAACAAGACGCTGTGGGAGCGTATATTTGGGCGCGGTTGTACTACGCGTACGTGAAGTTTGTTATGTGTATATGGGATATGTAGGTAGTACAGTGGTATTGTATATTTGACGGGTTAGTTGAGATGTGTGAAGTAGTAGGCGTGGAGTTATATTGGAAGTTGATTGCTAAGATGATGGGTTTAGTTTGTGAGGTAGTTGCTCGGTTTCTACACGGAGTTGTTTTTATTCATGTTAGTAATAGAGTCAAACATGTTTTACAAACTTGCTGTTTTCCATCAAATGAAGATTAATTGCACAGTAAAAAAAATTTTGACACGAATATTTACTTTTGCCAGAAATGTGAACTGATCTCTGATAATGTAATCAATTACAAACACAATGCAAAAATCTATACCCCGATCTGCCTATTTTCCTTTCTCCTTGCAAATAAATGTTTCTTTTTAAGAGGTTCCATCTCACAATACTAAAATTAACTATACCTGTGTTTCCTTGCAATCTTTTCCCTTTTACTGCTTTCAATTTTGCTTGAGCATAATATAAAGTGTATTTCATATTGTAGACTTTGACAATTTAACTTACTTTGTGTAATTTTATAAATTTCTTCAATTAATGACTGTATGGCTTTGATACTTTTAACAAGTCTTATTTCACCTAACTTTCATCATATCCCACAAGAAAAGATAAATCCTTTACTTTACTTTTTTGCTGAACTACGCAGCTTTAATTATTCGGTATATTCATGACAATGTTTTGAAATGCACATCTTCAACACAAATTTCCTCTCAGCCACATTCCAACAGAGGACACTTCTGTTTGCAGCTGTACGGTTTATCTCAGCTCCACTGATACTCTCACTTTCAGGAAGATCAACTGGCATAATATGTCTTTTCACACCGATCACATTGTACAGTGTATTCCCATTACTAGCAACGGCAGATGAAGTTCCTGAAGCCCAGTATCCACATGGATTAATAACGGAGTAACAAATTGCATAAACTCCTATAGCACAGCACTGTTTACAACAACATTAGTATAAACTATGAGCATTTGATATACTACTAACAGTATTCAACACTGCTACAACAAATATCAACTTCAAAGTTGGCAATATGTACACCTTTAAGCTCATATATATCCTCATTCCTACATATATATAGACTTTAAAAATATTGTACTAATTTATGCTTGGCTGGTATTTCCTACAATACACATGTACCATGACTATGACTGTTACCATACATATCTCTAGCATGAGAATCAACACCAATAATTCCCACAGTTAAAATGAATGAGTTGTAAATCAAAGCCGAGAGTGTTTCAAGTGACATACAGTAGTAATACCCCTCAATTCTGGCATCACCATGCATGTTACAAGTACATCTTTCACTGCATTTAAGCTGGAAAAATCGCTCAAACACTGTGACCATTTCTGGCAATTTTGTTAACATTAACATAGATTGTCTTGTAAGCAATGACAGACTAGAATATAACTGATAACCAACAGTCATTATTTGAATCTATCATCGACTGAAGGGGACTGAAGTAATCCTTATCTCACTGTAAATTAAAGCGCACAAACTCATTGCAACACATTGTTGTTCCGCATTTTCCCCAAACACTACAACGTTTCCTTGACAGTATGGAGTATGAATCTTTTTTTGCAGCATATACATAAAATGAAGGTCCTGGATTCTTCTCGATATCAGTAGAAAGATGAAATTGGCCAAAATTAACCCGGTGAATCAAACTCTTGTAAGCACTATAAAATCTATGGTTACATGTACAGAGGGACAAATACTTAAAACCGGCGCTATTTTGATACCTCACCCCACCTAAATAGCCTCCTCTTTTATGCTTAGACGACAAGATAACCCTTCCCTTGTTTTCGAACTAATTTTGGACTTGCCCTTTGTAAAAACCTCAAACTCTAACAGTTACTTCTGTACCACTTTAAGTATAAACCATTTCTATTTTTAACGTAACAATGAATTGTAGACGACAATGGTGTATTTTTCAGAATTCGCTTCCATACAAAAAGTCTCACTACCGTGTTTCCTTTAACAAAGATTTTAATATCTTCATCGATAAGTCTGCTCGGTGCACGACCGCGTCGAGAAAAATGACTAACCTTATTTAAACCAACTGGATTGTAAGTTCTGTCAAATAAATTTCCCACGACGAGATCTCAATTCAACTTCTTTTATTTCCTCCACAAAACATTTTCCTTCTGTACAACTGGGTCATTACCTTTTCTTGCCGTCACCTTACTGACATCAAAACACTCTTAACACAAAACTTGCTGATAATGCAAAATCCCGACGCCGAGCATCGTACATGTACTTCGTCACAATATACACAATTACATGAAAAACACAACGCGCAGTACAAAAACAAGTACATTAACAGTCACTCAGCTAAACAAAATTGAAAGAATAAGAAGAATTGTTACCGCTATCACAGTAGTTCCCAAAGAAGCCTGAGTCTCTTTTGGTTTCAATTGTTGACAATCTTCTCTTCCTTCATCGGAAGAGATTTTTATCACAGCT